AGAGAGAGAGAGAGATGCACAGAGAGGTAAACACAACACACACACACACACAATATCCAGCCACAGGGCATAAAATAAACACACATTTGGCAGTAAATGACACAATTAATAATCATTAAGTATGGAAATGCTTTTGCAAGCTTTTTTTTTAAAAAAAAAAATAAAAGTCTGCAAAATAAAACTCTGAAATACAAAGTTAATGAAATGTAAAAAAACAAAAGTAATGCTTTTCTCTGTATCAATGTAGGGAGCTCTGGCAGCCTGGTGGTAAGGAGCTGTGATGCCAACCCGAACGCATGTGGTTTGAATTCACCAGCTGTTTCACAGAAGAAAGATGGACAATCTCTTCCCATGTGACTTACTGCCTCTGAAAACCCACTAGTGTGTCAGTTCTTGGTCCATTCTGATGCAAAGGTACACAGTAACAATAGCATGTGTGAATGCATTTTGTGTGGATGTGTGTGTGTGTGTGTGTGTGTGTGTGTGTGTGTGTGTGTGTGTGTGAGTGTGTATGCATTTTGGGTGGATGTGTGTGTACGTGTGTGTCTACTTTGCAGATCCATAAATGCTAATAATCTCTCCTGTTGGCTTCATTGAGAAAACTGGAAACTAATGGTGATACCTTGATTTTTAGTACTTCATTCTCTTTGTTCATTTCCAAGAGCTGTAGATCTTTTCCTCTGATCTTTTCCATGAGCTGATCCAAACTGCAACAAGAGGAGTCCACCTCAGTCCCCGAGCCGTTCGGAATGTTTTCACGGTGCTGAAATGAGCAAACACAAAGATAACATGTTTTGTGGTTCTCCTCTATAAACTTGGACAAAAATAATACATGTTCCCTGGTGCCCAGTTACCATCCTAATAAGAAGTCCAATCCTTTAGCCAAATCAGGGATGATAATCCGGGAAAGAAATCAGCTCACCATCCAGATAAGAAAGTCTAGGATTAATTTGTTCTGCGGCTGTAGGATCCATAGGAAGTTATACTGGTATCCCAAAGATGGTGACCCTCTGAAGGTTCAAATCAGTTCTACGGGAGAAAGATGGGATTGGAAGCCTCTGAAAACCCACTGGCAGGGCAGCTATGAGCCGGTTCTGACTCAACGGCTATGAGTTTACGATCTCAAAGATCCTGGTGGATCAGTGGCAAAAAAAAAACACTCTCCCCATGAATAGAATAGGAATTTCTATCTAGGAATTCCTATCTTTTAATGTATTAATTGACAGGAAAATTCTTGTAGAAGGAAGATTGCTGGAAGAATGAAGGATCCAAAGGTCAGTGTTTCCCAAACGTTAATGAATATATGAATCTGGTGGCCTAGGGGCAAGAAGCTGCACTGCAATCCTGAAGATACGTGGTTCGAAGCAACCAGCTTCTCTGTGGAAGAAGGATGGGCAATCTCCTCCCATGCGCTTAACTGCCTCTGAAAACCTGCCTGAGGGTCAGCTATGGGTCCGTTCCAACTCTACATTAAACAACAACAGTAACAGCAATGTGAAAATGCAGGTTCTGGATCAGGGGATGTTAGGGAAGTAGGACCCAAAAAGCTCCATTTCTAACAAGCTCCTTGTGGTACAGACACTGTTGGAGCTACAGACGTGGAGGAACAAGGCCCTAGCTGGGTACTGCTGAATTCTCACAGCAACAGAGCCATGACCCCCCGGGGCATGGGAATGGCCTCTTGATGCTCAGCTCATTTGCAGGCTTTCCATGCCTGGAGGCGGCTGCCACAGATGCCCCGGCAGCACAAACCACTTCCGCTCCGTCCCATCATCAGCGTCCTTCTCTTCAGTCCACTCAGTGTTCCATTTCCAGTCTTCAGGTCACCTGGCGCACAGGCAGCAGGTGAGAGTGTTTCCTCCAACCTTCTGGAAGATTTTCCTCATGTGCATGAGACTCTGCTCGCTCTTCCTCTTCCTCCTTCCTCACTGGCTGCTCTGCCCAGATTCTGGCATAGGTTCTCTCCAAAATCTAAACTCAGGCAACCCCAGCATTCAAGCCTTAGAGAGAACCCCCCCTCTGTTTCTATCCACCTTGGACATTTTAGATAGAAAATCTCCTCTTAACTCAAGAACCATCCCTCCAGCTGCCCATTAGGACCTCCACTTGAGGGTCTACCTGACATCTCATCACAACAAAATGGAATTCTTATCTACCTCATCATTCTCACATTTAACTCATATTCTAGTGTCAAATAATTTAATTCAAGAAAATAACTGGAGTTCGCTGTGTTGCCTTGCAAGCCAAAGGTGGTAGGTGAAGTACTGATTCTATGTCACACCTTGGTCTCTAGTGGGCTCCATATCCATATTGTGGAGTGGCTAACACTGCACTTGACTTACCAAAGCTTAGCCTGGCACTATCCAGACAAGTCCAAGTGCAGACTGCTTGGTTGTAAGTCCATAAAAGTCTTTACTGTTTGTCCAATTATGTGGACCAATTGTTGTTGTTGTTGTTGTTATGTGCCATCAAGTAGCTTGCAATTCATGGTGACCCTATGTACAACAGCCCTAAACTCTGCTCTGTCCTGTGCCAATCTCACTGTCTCAGATACACCCATCCCGATTACCCCAGTCACTGAATCAATCCACCTCACAGAGGGCCTTTCCCTCCTGCACTGTCCCTCCATCCTACCAAGCATGATGTCCCTCTCCAAGAATGGGTCCCTCCTTACAATATGTCCAAAGTATGTCAAACCGAGCTTCAGAATCCTTGCCTCCAGGGAGCCACCCAGTTAACCCTTCCCAGGATGAATCTGTTTGTTTTCCTAGCAGTCCATGGTACCCTCAATATTCTTCTCCAGCATCACAGCTCAAAGGCATCAATTCTCCTTCAAATTAGATTTCCTGTTTAGAAATGTTGATGCCATAAATTCCGGCTGAGGTTGCATTTGCACATAAGCCTGAGGTTCCCTATGGTCAAGTTGACTTAGACTCATGGTGACCTCATGGGTGACAGAAGAGAGCTGTGCCACTTAAGGTTTCTAATGGCTTGTTTTCCTGTAGTCAGTCACCAGGCTGTTCTGTTCTTTTCTTTCTTTCCTTCCTTCCTTTTTTTGGTGTCTGAACTTTCAACATTTGAATTAGTAGCCATAGGCATTAATCTTGGGCATAACCCAGAGACATCTTAGATAATGAACCTGTTTAGAACACTCAAGGGTAGTCTGGTCATCCCATTTAATCCTATCGATGAGACTTCAGTCAAATGTTTCATCCATCCATCCATCCATTAACCTCTTCCCCTCTCTCTCTCTTCTTGCTGGGAAGTCAGAGCCAACTCATTGCTGCCCCCATTGCTTTCCAAGGCTATAAATCACTGGGGAAGGGTTTGCCATCTTTCCTCCAAGGAACAGCTTATGGATTTGAACCAACAAAAGTAGAACAAACTACGCATTTAGATCTCAACATTAACATCTCTAGACACTTTCAAAATCTTTTAGCGCTCATTTTCTAAAGGTCCAAAGAATCAATTGCTATATAAGAAAGTGCAGTCTATATAGTTTCACATTTCTTTCTCAAGAAATAAAAGTAATAAAAGGTGATGAATCCATTACCTGTGCATCTAGTTTGTTCTTCATAGAGTTGGGACCTCCGTCATCTTTAAACATTTGATTTCTGATCTTTTCCAGAGTAGTTCGAATCTGGAAGGAGGAAGAAAAATGTTTTTAAAGTAATGTAATAGCAAAGACTTTTTACCCCTGTACTAGTCAATTTAGTAGTAGGTAGCTTTGTTTTTCTGGTTTAACTACAATTTGATTTCTATAAAAAGCAACACTTGTATGTTAACCTTCAGATTTAAGTAATTGCATCAGCTTGGCTACCATTTAAGGGAGCCCTGGTGGCCTAGTGCATAAGGAGTTGTGTTGCTAATCCAAATACCATGTCTCTGGTAGGTTACATCTATCAGCCGCAACTCGGGACAAAGGTGGGCAACTTTCTCCCCCTTCTGATTCAGTGATAATAACTTTTGAGTTTTTAACTTCCATTTAGGTTAAGATTGTTTGTTGTTGTGTTCTGTTGAGTAGGAACCTACATACAGTGGACCCTCCAGTTGGTTTTTCAGAGTTTGTAAATTGCACAGAAAGAATTGCCCATTCTTTTTTGAGCTGGTGGATTTGAACCATATGCCTTTGGGATTGTGATACACCTTCTTAACTCTAAGCAACCAGAACATTGTTTAGCTTGCAAGTGGGGGGGGGGAAGCATTTGGTCTTTATAGCTTTCTTTTTGGTCAAACATAAAATATGATAAATTGGCATGATAACACAAACTATATGAAAAGTAATTACCACTTAGTAATTAGTATGTAATAGTCTTTGGTTTTAGTTTTTCTATTTAGTAATTTACCACTTATTTACTATTTAGTAATTAGTATAAAACAATTACTATCTAGTAATTACTACAAAAATAATTACCAGCTAGTAATTACTACAGAATAATTGCTATCCAGTATTTAGTACAAAATAATTGCTATTTAGTAATTACTACGGAATAATTACTACAAGGAGCTAATACAAATAGATATATAAAATATAGACTCTGTGTCCTAGTGACCTGTGGTATTCCAAGACACTCAAAGGTTAATTCTTTAACTCATCCAACAAGAGACCAGCTGCCCTTGTCAGAGGTTTTTCTTTTGTTATAAGAAATAGGGTTTTTTAAATATACCTATATTTTTTTTGTAAGTCATTATCTTCTTGGATTATTGTATGATTTCACATTGTTTTTAAACAAGCAAGCTGCCTATATGTATTCATGGCAATACCTACCACGAACTATGAAAAGGGGTAATGTAACAAGAGACACAAGTTTTAAGTATCTCCTTTCAGTTTCAGAGCTCATGAAACAATGGGAGAGAATATACGACAACAGGGAAGTCAGTGAGGAAGACTGGGGAACAAACTAAGCACTGTTAAGATCTCTGAACTCTCTAGGTCAAGGATTCCATTTTTCTAAGAAACATCATTTTCCTTCAGCTCCTCCAGAGAAATGACTGCACAGATATCCCAGTTTCAGCTAGGGAGACCATCTTTTTTTTTTAAGGAAGACCATCTTTGTCCAAGAAAAGAAACACAGCCCACCAACCTACATCAGCATTTGTTTTTTAAAGTCATATAGTTCTGTGTGTTTTCGGTCACTCACGTACCTTTCTCACATACTCTGTTTCTTCAAGAATGTGAGCCGATGTGGACCCACACAAGGGAGACTTCTCCTCTGTCTTGCCCCTTGGGGAAATTTCCGTGGTCACAGTGAGTGTTGTCATTGTGGAGGAGGTGAATGCTGGCCTGAGGGAAACACCAGCCTGTGAAGAACGCTGACTTCTTTGACTATGTGATCAGATGATTCCTAAAATGAAGGCATGTCTGTAAACAAGTCTAGTCAAAAATATTAGATTACTGGCATTTATATCTGCCTATAAATCTAGAAAATCATATAAAAGCATGACCACCTGAGTCACCGATCAGAACTTTTAAAATGAAGCACTGAAACAGATGTGGGAGAGAACTGTTTAAAAGGGATGTATTGTCATGACAGGAGTCCAGAATGAAGGCTGCACAATGGAGTGGACTTGGGGGGGAGGAATTGTATAACAACGAAAGGGTTTTTCTTTTACTTTGCAAGGAGATGAGTGAATTGGGGAGGGGACCGGGGTGAGGGGCAGGGAGAAAAGTGCAACAATGAATGAATGGAAACCCTAAGTCTCTGTAAACTTTGATTAAAATTAATTTGAAAAAACCCAAAAAATAAAATGAAAGTCAATATTGGGGGCGGGGGGGGGATGAAACAAATCGAGAAGGAAAATGTGACACTTTGTTTCTTTCCACGTCATATAAAAAATCTCCCTGCCACGAAGTCTGTTCCATCTCACAGTAACTCTGTGGGTCAGAGCTGACTCGCTTCCAGAGTTTCCAAAGCTGTACGCATTTACAGAAGCAGCCGGCCTCGTTCTTCTGTTGTAGGAGGGAGAAAAGTCACCCTATGACCAGGACTCCTTACCTGGAACATCTCAAGGGCAGAAGCCATGTCTTGTTTATCTATGTAGCTTTAGTTCTTGGAGAATTAAAACAAACAGAAAAAAGACCCACACAGAAACACCATCCCTCCACTGGCGTTTTGAGGCTGTAAATTGTGATGGGAGGAGAGAGACTATCTTTCTCCTGAAGAGCCACATTCCAACTGCCAGAAACACACAGTCCTTGACTTAACAGACCCCTCTCTCCAGACTACCCCACCAGAGCTCTCAGATCAGATATTACAAAAGAATTATTATAATCTTGTTACATGGGGCAATGGCACATTGGCTCTGTCTTGCAAAGATCTTATTTGTTAGTAGAATATTGACAGGTAAAATTATATTTTTATATGTTTTAAAATTTCTAGTAAAGGGAGAAAATGAGATGGAAAGAAAGATGAAAGTATTTGGCAAAATGCAGGTAACTATTGAAGCAGCTGACAGGCAGATGGGTCCGTTACACTAATTAATCTGTTTTAAATTTTCCATCATGAAATTAAAAACAAAAAAAAACAAACCACCACCATAAAACAGAAAATAATTGAAAAGTAAACCAAATAAGGATTTCTGTGCATTAGAATTTCATTCCATTTCCCTGAACAGCAAGCTAAGATTCTCGTTGGTGATAGAAACTTACCAAAGAGCACAGTTAATATTAACTGAGATGCAGCTCAGGCCACGGTATTTTCAGCATCAAATTCAGGATTGTTCCCATATTATCTGGACTGCCTTTCCTGGAGAGAAAGAACCACCACCACATTATTTAAAATCCAGGAGTGACCTGTCCTGGTAAATGACACAAAGAACTTCCCTATTTGTTGGCAACACTCTGACACAAGAGCTCCTTTGGGGACACCAGGAAGCCCTGTGTTTATTCTTTAGTCTGGAATGAAATTGACAGAGCCTGCCAAGAATTTTCCATTTTATTAGAAATCCTCTTAAGACATCCACTGTGGCTTCGATTTGCTCTCCACAAAGTCGATTTGTCAGCAACAATTCTGCACATTGGCTTGTTGCAAAATGCAAGGGAGAGGAATTCTTTTACTTGCTTCTCTTCCTCTCTTCACCTCTTATGTTCATTTCTGGGGCCAAAACAGCATACAAATGCTTGATAGAGAAGAATAGGGAAGAGAAGGGAAGAAATGCCCGCAGGGAGCACAGGCAGTGTGTTTGTAAACTAGAGGGCAGCAGTGAAGTGAGCATGGTCGCAGGGGGCTGTTTGAGCTGATTTTTATTCATAGAGACTCTGTGTGGCAGAGAAGAAGTCGTCCGGGGGGGTCTCCCAGGTGTAATAATTTACAGAATATTAGTAGTCTTTCCTCCCATGGAGCTGAAGGTAGGTTTGAACTGCTGGTCTTTCAGTTAGCAGTTAGTAGCCATTGTGTCATCATCTCCTTACAGGTTGTTGTTCGTTATGTGGTTTCAAGTCTGAACCAACTCATAGCTGACCTACCAGTAGGTTTTCAGAGTCTGAAAATTACACCGGATGAGGTTGTACAATTTTCCCCCCTCTAGGGAGCAGCTGGTGGATTAGAACTGCCGGCCTTTGGGTTGGCAGTGCAACTCCTTACCTGTTAGGTCACAATCCTCCCTAATCTTTCAGGCTAGCATCATCCAAATCAATTGCTGTGGAGTGAGTTTCAACTTAGAGAAAACAGGCTGAGGTGGAGATCAGCAAATCTCAATTCTCCAGTCAAATCTAGCCTGGAGTTTATTTTAATAACATGTGAGACAAAAACAGCATTTACATTTTTGAGTGGTTGATGGAAAGAAAAATCAAAAGATTACTATTTCATGGCACATAAAATAATATGAAGTTCCAATTTCAGTCTCCGTAACAAAGTTTCATTCTAACTTGACAATACCCATTCTTTTACATTTTGACTAACTTTGGAGCTGCAACAGCCAAGTTGATTGCCATTACTTTCAAGAAAGGAAGTATGTGGTCTGCATAGTTGTTGTTGATGATTGCCTTCAAGTTAAGCACGCTCATAGCAACCCTATGAACGAAAGGCCTGAAGCCCCTTTACAACCATCGACATTTATCAAAGTTCATAGGGTTTACAGAGGCATGTGGTTTAGGAAGTGGAGAGTCTAAAATATTTGCCATCTAGCTGTTTACACAAGGAGTCCTGATGGCATAGTGCATCACAGATCAGATTACAAACTAAAAAGACCAGCAGTTCAAAGCCAACAGTCACTCCAAGGGAGAAAGATGGGTAGTCTCCTCCCTTAAATATGTACAGATTCAAAAAGCAATGAAGGGTTGTTGTCAGTCAGAACTGACCCAGTGACAGTGAGCCTTGGGGTCTTTTTTACACAGACTCTTGGGCTACAGACTGACAGGAAGTGGCAGTCCAGGCCGTTAGGGAAACAGCCATCAGCGTAGCCTGAGGCATCTTTTTCTCCTGCTCAATCTCTCTTGACTTGTAGTCCCATTTAATAGATTTCTCCTTGCTTCTCTTTATTTTCACATAGTTGTTGATATGTGCTGTTGAGTTAATTACCACTCGTAGTGGCCCTATAAACCATAGCCCTGATCCCTGCCTTGTCTCGAGCCAATCTCATTGTCCCTGACACATCTGCCCTCATTGCCACAGCCACTGTGTCAGTCCGTCTCATCCAGGGTCTTTCTCTCCTACATTAACCCTCTACCCTTCCATGCATGAACTCCTTCTTCAAGGATGGGTCCAAAGACTGGCACCATGGCCAAAGTTTGTGAGACAGAGCTTCACAGTCCTTGAAGTCCTTGACGTCTCCAAGAAGCAGCCCTTCCAGGACAGACCTGTTTGTTTTCTTGGCAGTCCACAGGTTGTTTAATACTCTTCTCCAGCACCACAACTCAAAGACATCCGTTTCTGTCTATCATCCTCAGTCATTGTCCAGCTCTCAGATGCATAGCAAGTATTTGAGAAAACCGTGGCTGGGATTAGGAGCACCTTGGTCTCTAGACTGACATCGTTGCTCCTTAGCACTCTGGAGAGGTTCCTGACAGCAGATTTTCCCAAAGCAATTCTTCTTTTGATTTCCTGACTTCTGCTACCAATAGTGTTGACTGTGAAGCCAAGCAAGATGAAATTTACAATCTCAATCTTGTCTCCATCTATCAGGATGCTTCGAATTGGCCTCGTGGTGAGAATCTTCATCTTCTTAAGGTTGAAAAGCAATCCATATTAAGACTGCCATCCTTGACCCTCTTCAGCAAACACTTCAAATCCTCCTCAACCACTGCCTCCGGTCGATTTTGACTCATAGCAACGCCAAGGAGGTTTCCAAGGCTGCAACTCTTTATGACATCTGATAGCCTCAACTTTCTCCTGAAGAGCAGCTGGCAGGCTCAAACTGCTAACCTTTTTAACCCAATGGTTAACTTACCACCCTGTCAGTGTTTCTATATTAACACATAAAAGGCATTGTATTTCAGAAATCAATCACTCTTTAGGATAGATCTCATCGAATTCTCATTATTACATAGTTTTAGACTACTACTGTGCTTTATAAACATAAACAAAAATAGATACTCTTGGTGTCTTTTCTTTTTAATAGTGAAGGAATCTGCTCCTTAATCACTGGTCAAAAAACATTCCGTCTCCATCATCACATAAGCACCTCAAATGACACATACCAGGCTGTTAAAAGACACACCAGGAATTCTTTACCTTTGGCACACCATTTGGTTGAGTTATAAAACATAAAACATAAAAACATCATATACATTTTTACCTCAACTACTCACTTTGTGATAATCTTTTATTAAAAAAATAAATAATAAGATTGCAAGGCAAAATCCCTTCTGTTCAATTTATTCCAACTGTTGCCTCTTTTTCCTGCAGGACAGCTGGTAGGTTCGAACCACTGACCTTGTGGGTTTGTAAAAGGCATTTAATAGGCAATGCTGTCATTTTATCTTAATTACCACAGAAGACAGGTGTCCCACTACAGAGAAGATCACTCATAACTATCTAGTTCCAAAGTCTTAGACCCAAACATTTTTACGGCATCTAATCCCATGTCTCCTTTGATCCAGAAAACTTGTGTGCCCAGACTCCTTGATTTATATAAGGAAGCTCAAGCGAGCTTAAACCAGCAAAGCCTCAACTGCCATGTGGCATTACCATCCCGGGGAAAAATCCCCCTTAGCATTTTATTTCAGCCAGACATAGATTAAGCAGATTAAATGTTCAAAATAAAATATAATCAGATAATTAAAGTGAGAAAAGAACTTATTTGTTTTCAGCCAGAGTGAAGAC